ACAGACGCACACACACACACATACACACACACACACACCCACATACGCGGACCCACACAAACGCAAGAAGACACACACACACACACTCACACACACACACACTCACACACACCCACACCCACACCCCCACCCGCACCTGCACCCGCACCCACACCCAGGCCGACACCGACACCGACACCCACACCGACACCGACGCCGACACCGACAGACACAGCCACAACCACATCCACAGCCGCCCACCCACCCACCCACCCACCCTTGCGCCCACAAACACACACACACAAACACACACACACACACACACACACAAACACACACACACACACACACACTCACCCGCGCACACACACACACACACAAAGTTGCACTCACACACACACACAGACACAGACACACACACAAACAGACACACACACACACACAGACACACACACACACACATATCGAGAATCTTCCGTTTCGTCCGAACTCTCACTGATTCACGCGTTTCTCCAATCACCTTCTTCCATGCAGTTGTCCGTCCGCCCGTCCAGACGTTCATCCACGTTCGCCCATTCGTTCGTCAACCATCCGCTCCTCCTGCGCTCCCGTTTCACCGCTTTATACAGTCCTCCATTCGTCTATGCATCTTTCCGGCCGTTCCTGGGATTGCTCGTTCAGCCGTCCGTCCGTCCACACGTTCAATCAAGCGTCTAGCAGCTGTAAGTATGGGCTTTGCGGGCTCGACGTCGGAGTTGTGGTCGCCAATTCGAATGAATATCATACTTTGTATCAAAATATGAACAATATTTTCATATTTGGAATAATATTGAGGAAAAATAAATGACGTAGCGCAAAGATATTATGTAAGAAAACTTAGGAATTTGAACATCTTAGTATTTATCTTATTCATATCAACAAGTTTTCTTATTATTCTTATCAAACGACACAAATTAGAATATATACATAAATATGTGTTTTGCAAAATTTACAGAATTCAAAATAATTTCTCATATCCAAATTCTCAATATTATAATTCGAAAAAAAGTAGCGAAATGTTACTAGTTATAATGGAGAATCAAGAATATACTATATCAAAAAAATCGAAAATCTTAGAAAAGAAAACCGAATCTATTAGTACTATATATTATACTATAGAGATTAATCTAAGAATTCTTCCTATCTTCAAAGGATTCGAAACCAAGTGAATAATTCGTGCTGAAAAATTAAAATTGTAAATCTTTCCATACCAAAAATTTTCGATACATTAGTTAAGAATATTTTCTAGATTATAATGGAATAAAATTCCAAATTCCCGATATAATTATTGGAATAGGTAGAATAGAAATTCTTTAGAATTCTATAGATGAAATCTATTCATATTCAAATACCCATAATGAACTCTATCTATTTAAATTACCACCATATTCGAAATAAAATTCATATTTTTGCATAGATCGAAAATAAATCAAATACTATTACAAATCCAGATCTTATGAAAATACCGAAATAACACAAGATTCTTCATTTCATACTATGATGAAATCTTGCATACTGAAGATTAGGAAAGAATAAACTCCTGTTTTTTATTATTCTGATAATAAAATATAAATGCTACTTTTAAAGATAGGCAAGATATACAGAAGGAATTGAAATTTCATATAGCCAAAGAAATAGAATTCTGAAATATAAATGAATATGAATTACTTATATTTCTATAAAAGAAATCGCTGCAACAGGAATACGTCTATTGTTTGAAAAAAAACTTACAATAATTTATATATATATATGTATAATAAAATATTATGATTTATAAACATCGAACTCCAAAATTTAACTAATCAATAGTTTCAATAATTCAATTTTCAGACTACTTAAAAATACGCAAAATATTCCGTTTCATATCATCTAATGAAAATTTTCATATTCGAAAAGAATAATTCAAATACTAATTGAAAACTATACCAATATACGAATATGAGTAGTATTCATAATAAGCTTTTAATCTCGATTAACTTTTTAATTGTCGATTATCTAAATATTAATATACATACCTGCCATGAATCTTAAATAATATCGTATTCTCCATCTCGATTCTCGCAGTCCACCCCGCCCTCCAGAACTTACTCACAACCCACCATAAATAGAACGTACAATTTAACACCCATACAACCCACCTCCGCGACGCAATATACGCACACCACACAACACGCTCTCCCACAAACACTCACGCACACACCCACACCCACACAGCCACAACCCAGCCCGAGCCCCAGCCCCAACCATACACACACACGAACACAAACACACACACACACAGACACACACACACAAACACACATACACAGACACACACACACACACACACACACAGAGACACACACACACACAACACACACCCACACCCCCACACGCACACCCCCACACGCACATCCCCACACGCGCACCCGCACACGCCCACACGCACACGCCCACATGCCCACACGCACACGCCCACACGCACGCACTTGCCCACATGCACGCGCAGGCCCACACACACACACACACACACACACACACGCACACACGCACGCGCACGCGCACGCGCCCACACGCACACACACACACACACACACACACACCCGCACACACACACACACACACACCCACACTCACACCCACGCCCGCACGCACACGCACGCACGCACACTCCCGCACACACACGCCCGCACGCACACGCCCACACGCACGCACACGCCCACACGCACGCACACGCCCACACGCACACACGCCTGCACACCTCCACACGCACGCAGACGCCCACACGCAGGCACACGCCCACACGCAGGCACACGCCCACACGCACGCACACGCACCCACACGCATGCACACGCGCCCACACACACGCACACACGCCCACACACGTGCACACGCGCCCACACATACGAACACGCGCCCACGCACACGCACACGCGCCCACACGCACATAGTACGCGCCCACCCCACACGCACCGCGTGCCCACACGCACGCACACGCACCCACACGCACACACAAGCGCCCGCACGCACGCACGCGCCCACACACGCACGCACACGCCCACACACGCACGCACACGCCCACACAGGCCCGCACACGCCCACACACGCCCACACACGCCCGCACACGCCCACACACACACCCGCGCACACACCCACACACACCCACTCACACCCACACCCACACACACAGAGACACACAGGGAAACACAGACACACACAAAGACACACAGAGACACACAGAGACACACAGAGACACACAGAGACACACAGAGACACACAGAGACACACAGACACGCACACACACACACACTCACACACACACACACACACTCACACACTCACACACTCACACACTCACAGACACACACATCGAGAATCTTCCGTTTCGTCCGAACTCTCACCGATTCACGCATTTCTCCAATCATCGAGTCTCTAGAACCTTCTTCCATACAGCTGACCGTGCACCCAATCGTCCGTTGTCCACGTCTGCCTGTCGTCCCTCAACTTGTTCGTTCGCGATCTGTCCTCTTCGGTTCATCTATTTCTCCCATTATCGCGTCCGTTCGTCCAGACGTCCATCCGCGTTCCCCCATTCGTTCGTCAACCATCCACTCCTCCTGCGCTCCCGTTCCTCGTTCAGCGCTTTATACGGTCCTCTATTCGTCTATGCATCTTTCCGGCCGTTCCTGGGATTGTCCATTCATCCGTCCGTTCGTCCACACATTCAATCTTTGCGGTCCCGACGTTGGAGTTGTGGTGGTGATTTGGGTATCGGTTTTGGCTTGGAATTGAACAAAGTCACAAGAACAAGTTTGTTTCGGCAGTTGTCGTTTTTGTTTTCCTTTCGCGTCGCTACGTTTGCGTGCTCGTGCGTCCGTCCGTCCCTCGCGTCCAAATGGTCCGTCCGTCCGTCCGGCGCCCAGTCGTGGGTCCGCCCCGAACGAACGCGGCAGAGGTTCGCGTGGCACCGAACGCTTTAGGGCTAACGGCCGGAGCCCCTTGTTTTTCCCATGAGGGTTGCCCAGGGCGCCAGCTGCGCTGGCGGACCCTCAACCCTAAACCCTAAACCCTAAACCCTAAACCCTCAAGAGCAGGATAAATAGAAATTGTGTGATTTTCGTTTCGATCTGCAGTTGCAATAGTTTCAAATTTTCGCTAAACGTGTCCAACCAAATCCAGCGGACAAGGCGGGAAGGCTTATCCTCAACCGGTATGGGGTTCCGAGGTGTGGGAGCTCAAGCCGAAGAAGACAGAGGCAAGGACAATCCAGGGTATGGAAGCTTGAGCCTCAACCAATGTGGGTTGCCGAGGTGTGTGGTCTCAGCGACAAGGCTGAGAGGGCTTATCCGGAGAGCTTTTCCTCAAACAAAACAGGAACCTGAAGGTATGCAGTTCAGGAGCTAGCCGACCTTCCCCCTCCCCCTCCCTCCCCCTCCCATGCCCTAACGGCCTTTTTCCCGGGGCACGAATTCTCAGGGAAGGTAGTGGCAGAAATCAATGGGGTGCGGGGTCTCCCCCCCGCCCCCCCTCCCCCGCCCTCCCCCCCCCCCTCCTGGGCCGGGAGGGTAGTGGGCAGACACCAAAAGACAATCCTCAACTAAAATGGGGCGTTGGTTCCCGCCCCTCCCCGCCCCCCTCCCCCACCCTCCCCCCTCCCTCCCCCTCCCCACCCGGTGCCTCCTCCGGAGGGTGGCACGAGTCTCACGGGGGGTAATGGGCCGACACCAAAAAACAATCCTCAACTAAAATGGGGTGTGGGGCTCCCCCGCACCCCTCCCCACCCTCCCCCCCCTCCCTCCCCCCCCACCCGGTGCCCCCTCCGGAGGGTCCCCCCCCTCCCTCCCCCCCTTCCCTCCCCCGCTCCCTTCCCTCCCCCTCGCTCTGCCCCTCCCACCCCCTCCCAAACCCGCTCACTTAGACCGCAACCAGCGTGGAGTGCCAGGTGCGTATCCTCAAGAAGAAAAAGGCCGGGAGCGGGAACGAAGCTGTGCAGGCTCGCCTGCATGGTGTCCCAGGTACGTGGTCCCAACCCCAAGAAGACCGAAGTGAGGAGGTGAGCGCTGATTATCCTCAACCAATGTGGGGTCCCAGGTGCGTGGTCTCAGTCGAAGAAGGCGGAGGCAGGGACGAGGCCGGAGCACTTATCCTCACCCAATATGGGGTCCCAGGTGCGTGGTCTCAGCCCGAAGAAGGCGACGAGGCCGGAGCGCTTTTCCTCAACCAAAAAGTTCCAGGCGCGTGCTCATCCTCAACCAATATGGGGTCCCAGGTGCGTGCTCTCGCGGACCAGGCCGGCGCAATATGGGGTTCCAGGCGCGTGGTCTCAGCCCGAAGAAGGCGGAGGCGGGGGCGAGGCCGGAGCTGGGGTCCCAGGTGCGTGCTCGGCAGGGACGAGGCCGGAGCGCTTATCCTCAACCAATATGGGGTCCCAGGTGCGAAAGCGGAGGGGGGACGAGGCCGGAGCGCTTATCCTCGACCAACGTGGAGTTCCAGGTACGCGATCTCGGCCCGAAGAAGGTGAAGGTGGGGACGAGGGCGGAGCACTTATCCTCAACCGATATGGGCTCCTAGGTGCGTGCCGTACCGCAGCGTGCATCAGTGCCAGGTGCTTGAAGCCAGAAGAAGGCGAGCTTCAAGAGGAGGCGACAACAAGCTCGAAGGACTTACTCTCAGAATACGTTCTCGGCGCGTGGTCTCAAACTGAAGAAGACAGAGGCGGCGACAAGGCCGGATCGCCTATCCTCAACTGTCATGGGTTCCCAGGTTCGTGGTCTGGAGAGAACAGAAGCCGAGACCAGGCCGGAGTGCCTATCCTCAACCAATATGGGGTCCCAGGTGCGCGGTCTCAACTTGAAGAGGATGGAGGCGGGAACCAGGCCGGAGCACTTCTCCTCAACCAATATCGGGTCCGAGGTGCGTGGTCTCAACTCGAACAGGACGGAGGCGAGGAGAGGCCGGAGTGCCTATCCTCAACCAAGATAGGGTCCCAGGTGCATGGTTTCATCTTTGAGAAAAGAGAAAGGACGAGGCCTCAACCAATATGAGGTCCGAGGTGCGTGACCCCAGCAAAAAGACGACGGAGGCAAGGACAAAGCCGGGGTTCGAAGTGCGTGGCCCCAGGAAGCTCAAGCTGAAGAAGACAGAGGCAAGAACGAGGCCGGGAGGGCTTATCCTCAACCAATATAAGTTTCCGAGGCAAGGACAAGGCCGGGAGGGCCCATCCTCAACCAACATGGGGTTCCGAGGTGTGGAAGTTCAAGCTGAAGAAGACACAGGTAGGGACAAGGCCGGGGGGGGGGCTCATCCTCAACCAGTATGGGTTTCCGAGGCGTGGAAGCTCAAGCTGAAGAAGGGCAAGGACAAGGCCGGGAGGGTGTATCATCAACCAATATGGGTTTCCAAGGCGTGGGGTCTCAAGCTGCAGAAGCGCAACGACAAGGCCGGGAGGGTTTATCCTCAACTAGTACGGGTTTCCGAGGCGTGGAAGCTCACAAGTCGAAGAAGACAGAGGCAAGGATAAGGCCGGGAGGGTTTATACTCAACCGATGTGGGTTTCCGGGGTATGGAAGCTCCAGCCGAAGAAGACAGAGACAGAGACAAGGCGGGAAGGCTTATCCTCAACCGGTATGGGGTTCCGAGGTGTGGAAGCTCAAGCCGAAGAAGACAGAGGCAAGGACAATCCAAGGTATGGAAGCTTTGAGCCTCAACCAATGTGGTTGCCGAGGTGTGTGGTCTCAGCGACATCCTCAACTAAAATGGGTCCCCCGCACCCCTCCCCACCCTCCCCCCTCCCCCCCACCCGGTGCCCCCTCCGGAGGGTCCCCCCGCTCCCTCCCCCCCTTCCCTCCCTCCCCTTCCCTCCCCCGAACCCCGCACCGCAAGTTGACCTCCAACCCGCTCACACAGACCGCAACCAGCGTGGAGTGCCAGGTGCGTATCCTCAAGAAGAAGAAGGCCAGGAGCGGGAACGAAGCCGTGCAGGCTCGCCTGCATGGTGTCCCAGGTACGTGGTCCCAACCCCAAGAGACCGAAGTGAGGAGGTGAGCGCTGATTATCCTCAACCAATGTGGGGTTCCAGGTGCGTGGTCTCAGTCGAAGAAGGCGGAGGCAGGGACGAGGCCGGAGCACTCATCCTCAACCAAAAAGGGGTCCCAGGTGCGTGGTCTCAGCCCGAAGAAGGCGACGAGGCCGGAGCGCTTATCCTCAACCAATATGTTCCAGGCGCGTGCTCGGAGGCGGGAGCGCTTATCCTCAACCAATATGGGGTCCCAGGTGCGTGCTCTCGCGGACCAGGCCGGCGCATTTTGGGGTTCCAGGCGCGTGGTCTCAGCCCGAAGAAGGCGGAGGCGGGGACGAGGCCGGAGCTGGGGTCCCAGGTGCGTGCTCGGCAGGGACGAGGCCGGAGCGCTTATCTCAACCAATATGGGGTCCCAGGTGCGAAAGCGGAGGCGGGGACGAGGCCGGAGCGCTTATCCTCGACCAACGTGGAGTCCCAGGTACGCGATCTCGGCCGGAAGAAGGTGAAGGTGGGGACGAGGGCGGAGCACTTATCCTCAACCGATATGGGGTCCTAGGTGCGCGCCCTACCGCAGCGTGCATCAGTGCCAGGTGCTTGACGCCAGAAGAAGGCGAGCTTCAAGAGGAGGCGACAACAGGCTCGAAGGACTTACTCTCAGAATACGTTCTCGGCGCGTGGTCTCAACCTGAAGAAGACGGAGGCGGCGACAAGGCCGGATCGCCTATCCTCAACTGTCATGGGTTCCCAGGTTAGTGGTCTGGAGAGAACAGAAGCCGAGACCAGGCCGGAGTGCCTATCCTCAATCAATATGGGGTCCCAGGTGCGCGGTCTCAACTTGAAGAGGATGGAGGCGGGAACCAGGCCGGAGCACTGGTCCTCAACCAATATCGGGTCCGAGGTGCGTGGTCTCAACTCGAACAGGACGGAGGCGAGGAGAGGCCGGAGTACCTATGCAAGGACAAGGCTGGGAGGGCCCATCCTCAACCAACATGGGGTTCCGAGGTGCGGAAGTTCAAGCTGAAGAAGACACAGGTAGGGACACGGCCGGGGGGGGGGGGCTCATCCTCAACCAGGATGGGTTTCCGAGGCGTGAAAGCTCAAGCTGAAGAAGACAGGGGCAGGGACAAGGCCGGGAGGGCTCATCCTCAACCAATATGGGGTTCCGAGGTGGGGAAGTTCAAGCTGAAGAAGACAGAGGCAGGGACAAGGCCGGGGGTGAGCCATCCTCAACCAATATGGGTTTCCGAGGCGTGGAAGCTCAAGCTGAAGAAGGGCAAGGACAAGGCCGGGAGGGTTTATCATCAACCAATATGGGTTTCCAAGACGTGGCGTCTCAAGCTGAAGAAGAATATCCTCAACCAATATGGGTGTGACAGCGCAGCTCCTACTTTGAGACTTTGAAATACGGCAGACCAGGGCAGGGCAGGGCAGCGCAGGGCAGGCCAGGCGGAGCAGGGGTTCTTGGTGGGGGGGAGTGGGCAAGCACCACAAAAAACGACCCTGATTCTCTCGTCGAAGTGGGTCGCCCCCAACCCACCCTGGGTTCCCCTGACCCCCCCACCCCCGCTGCCCCCTTCCACCCCCCCTCTCCTGCGGGGGAGGCACAAACCCTTATTCTCAACCTAAATGGGGTTGGAGCCCCGCCTCCCCCGCACGACACCCGCCCACCCCCCTGCCCCCCTTCCACCCCCCCTCTCCTGCCCCCACACCCCCTTGGGGCGGGTAGAGGGTCCCCAACCCCCCACCCCCCACCCCCCTCCCCCCCAGCCCCTCCCCCCACCCCCCAACCTCCTCAAGCAGAATGCGGGCAAGCCACGAAAGAGCCGCCACGTTTATCCTCAACCAGAAGAGGCCAGGGGGTACAGCCGCCACGCTTATCCGGTGCCAGGCGAAGAGGTGCAGCCGCCACGCTTATCCTCAACCAGAATGGGGGCCAGGGGAAAGAGGCGCAGCCGCCACGCTTATCCTCAACCAGAATAGGGGCCAGGGGGTACAGCCGCCACGCTTATCCGGTGCCAGGCGAAGAGGTGCAGCCGCCACGCTTATCCTCAACCAGAATGGGGGCCAGGGGGAAGAGGCGCAGCCGCCACGCTTATCCTCAACCAGCATAGGGGGCCAGGTGTTAGGCGAAGAGGTGCAGCCGCCACGCTTATCCTCAACTAGAATGGGGGCCAGGGGGAAGAGGTGCAGCCGCCACGCTTATCCTCAATCAGAATAGGGGTCAGGGGGTACAGCGGCCACTTATCCAGTGCCAGGCGAAGAGGTGCAGCCGCCACGCTTATCCTCAACCAGAATGGTATTTTTTTTTAGGGGGACAGCCGCCACGCTATCCTCACCAGAATAGGGGCAGGGGGCCAGCCGCCACGTTATACGGTGCCGGCAAACGTGCAGAACGCCACGATCAATCCCAACCAGAATGGGGGGACAGGGGGAAGAGGCACAGCCGCCACGCTTATCCTCAACCAGAATAGGGGGCAGGGGGTACAGCCGCCACGCTTATCCGGTGCCAGGCGAAGAGGTGCAGCCGCCACGCTTATCCTCAATCAGAATAGGGGCTAGGGGGTACAGCCGCCACGCTTATCCGGTGCCAGGCGAAGAGGTGCAGCCGCCACGCTTATCCTCAACCAGAATGGGGGCCAGAGGGAAAAGGCGCAGCCGCCACGCTTATCCTCAACCAGAATAGGGGTCAGGGGGTACAGCCGCCACGCTTATCCGGTGCCAGGCGAAGAGATGCAGCCGCCACGCCTATCCTCAACCAGAATGGGGGCCAGGGGGAAGAGGCGCAGCCGCCGCGCTTATCCTCAACCAGAATAGGGGCCAGGGCGAAGAGGCGCAGCCGCCACGCTTATCCTCAACCAGAATAGGGGCCAGGGGGTACAGCCGCCACGCTTATCCGGTGCCAGGCGAAGAGGTGCAGCCGCCACGCATATCCTCAACCAGAATGACGCTTATCCGGTGCCAGGCGAAGAGGTGCAGCCGCCACGCTTATCCTCAACCAGAATGGGGGCCAGGGGCAAAAAGGCGCAGCCGCCACGCTTATCCTCAACCAGAATAGGGGCCAGGGGGTACAGCCGCCCGATTTCTCGACGCTTATCCGGTGCCAGGCGAAGAGGTGCAGCCGCCACGCTTATCCTCAACCAGAATGGGGGCCAGGGGGAAGAGGCGCAGCCGCCACGCTTATCCTCAACCAGAATAGGGGCCAGGGGGTACAGGGGGAAGAGGCGCAGCCGCCACGCTTATCCTCAACCAGAATAGGGGCCAGGGGGTACAGCCGCCACGCTTATCCGGTGCCAGGCGAAGAGGTGCAGCCGCCACGCTTATCCTTAACCAGAATGAGGCGCAGCCGCCACGCTTATCCTCAACCAGAATAGGGGCCAGGGGGTACAGCCGCCACGCTTATCCGGTGCCAGGCGAAGAGGTGCAGCCGCCCAGATAGAGGCGCAGCCGCCACGCTTATCCTCAACCAGAATAGGGACCAGGGGGCACAGCCGCCACGCTTATCCGGTGCCAGGCGAAGAGGTGCAGCCGCCACGCTTATCCTCAACCAGAATGGCGGGCCAGGGGGAAGAGGCGCAGCCGCCACGTTTATCCTCAACCAGAATAGAGCCGCCAACGCTTATCCGTGCCAGGCGAAGACCAGCCGCACGCTTATCCTCACCAGATGGGGGCCCAGGGGAAGAGGCGCGCCCCGCCACCTTACTCTCACCAGAATCGTGGGCCAGGGTGTTCAAGCCGCCACGCTTATCCGGGGCCAGGCGAAGAGGTGCAGCCGCCACGCTTATCCTCAACCAGAATGGGGGACAGGGGGAAGAGGCGCAGCCGCCACGCTTATCCTCAACCAGAATAGGGACCAGGGGGTACAGCCGCCACGCTTATCCGGTGCCAGGCGAAGAGGTGCAGCCGCCACCCTTATCCTCAACCAGAATGGGGGCCAGGGGGAAGAGGCGCAGCCGCCACGCTTATCCAGAATAGGGGCCAGGGGGTACAGCCGCCATGCTTATCCGGCGCCAGGCGAAGAGGTGCAGCCGCCACGCTTATCCTCAACCAGAATGGGGGCAGGGGGAAGAGGCGCAGCCGCCACGCTTATCCTCAACCAGAATAGGGGCCAGGGGGTACAGCCGCCACGCTTATCCGGTGCCAGGCGAATCCTCAACCAGAATGGGGGCCAGGGGGAAGAGGCGCAGCCGCCGCGCTTATCCTCAACCAGAATAGGGGCCCAGGGGGTACAGCCGCCACGCTTATTCGGTGCCAGGCGAAGAGGTGCAGCCGCCACGCTTATCCTCAACCAGAATGGGGGCCAGGGGGAAGAGGCGCAGCCGCCACGCTTATCCTCAACCAGAATGGGGGCCAGGGGGAAGAGGCGCAGCCGCCACGCTTATCCTCAACCAGAATAGGGGCCAGGGGGTACAGCCGCACGCTTATCCGGTGCCAGGCGAATCCTCAACCAGAATGGGGGCCAGGGGGAAGAGGCGCAGCCGCCACGCTTATCCTCAACCAGAATAGGGGCCCAGGGGGTACAGCCGCCACGCTTATTCGGTGCCAGGCGAAGAGGTGCAGCCGCCACGCTTATCCTCAACCAGAATGGGGGCCAGGGGGAAGAGGCGCAGCCGCCACGCTTATCCTCAACCAGAATAGGGGCCAGGGGGTACAGCCGCCACGCTTATCCGGTGCCAGGCGAAGAGGTGCAGCCGCCACGCTTATCCTCAACCAGAATGGGGGCCAGGGGGAAGAGGCGCAGCCGCCACGCTTATCCTCAACCAGAATAGGGGCCAGGGGGTACAGCCGCCACGCTTATCCGGTGCCAGGCGAAGAGGTGCAGCCGCCACGCTTATCCTCAACCAGAATGGGGGCCAGGGGGAAGAGGCGCAGCCGCCACGCTTATCCTCAACCAGAAGAGGGGCCAGAGGGTACAGCCGCCACGCTTATCCGGTGCCAGGCAAAGAGGTGCAGCCGCCACGCTTATCCTCAACCAGAATGGGGGCCAGGGGGAAGAGGCGCAGCCGCCACGCTTATCCTCAACCAGAATAGGGGTCAGGGGGTACAGCCGCCACGCTTATCCGGTGCCAGGCGACTCAAGCTGAACGAAGCTGGAGGCGGGGACGGGAGGGCTCGCACGAACAAGTGATTTGTCTATCCTCAACCAATATGGGGTCTCAGGTGTTCAGTCTCAAGCTGAACGAAGCTGGAGGCCGCCACGCTTATCCTCAAGTAGAAGGGGGGCGGGGGCGCCCATCCCCACAGCCCTTGTTCCCGAGGTCGGCATGTCTGAGGACGTGGGCGATGAAGGCCCAATTCCTGCACATACCGTGTTGAGCTGTGGCAGAAGGCCAAAACGGGCGTGCATGTCCAGCCGTTCTTGGATTCAGAGTCGTTGCCAGCAGGTAGCCTTGTGAAAGTGCACAGCGCAGCATCCTGTGGCAGCACATCCTTCAACGCCGCCACCATAGCATACTAAGCCTCAAACTGCTATCTAGCATCAACAGATATCACTGGCCTGTGGCCCGGTGCGAGCCTCAGATATGGAAGGCTCCGCCAGTGTCGTCGCAGGTGGTCTTTGATAGCGTTGCAGCGGCCCGTGCTTCTCAGGTCAACTGGCACGACAATGATGTCCGACGACATGAACGAAGACTTCCAGAGCACAGACCATTCGATTCGCGACTCCGACCAGGTGGACCGCGAGGACGGGTTCGATGACTGGGACTGGGTCGGACAGGAGATGCAGCGTGAGGCCGAGGAAGATGCACGTGGGGGAGCAGCATGGGACAAAGAAATGGACATCCAGAATGCATACAACAAACGTCTGGCGAACATGACGGTGAAGTACATGAATATGAAGGGTGATGAGGTTCACGCCTCAAGGCCCTACCCGTGCTGCCAGCTTGAATGCGGCTCGTTCCGTGAAGCTTGGCTGACCACTTTACACGACGGAAACAACCCGGATCGATTTCTCTCTCTGTGCCAGCTACGTGAAAGACGGCAGAAGACCAACAAGCCTTTGCCTCCAGAAATACTACAGTATCGCAGCCCCAGAGAAGTCCTGCTTCACGACCTGGACAGCAGTCGCATTGGACCGATCTGCCTGGATGCCACAAAACTGGCGTTGGGCGGGGATGTGATCACGGATGCCTGGAGTTGGGATGAGCTCTTGGATCGCAGCTTGAGCGATAGCACCGTGCACGTGCACGTGGTCTTCAATTCCGAGCAGTCCAACGGCCGACAGTCCTAGAGCTCCAAATCTGAGCCGCGCGGAGAGAGAATACGAAATGTGCCCCAGGACTGCAGCAAAATGAAAGGGTCAGAGCCACCTGAACCTGAACATGGTCTTATTGAGCTTCTGCACGTTGTGCAAGGTTGCTGCAGCCAGGTGAAAAGGTCAGAGCCGCCCGAACATTACTTTCTTGAGCATGTTGTGCAAAATTGAATTCCTGCCTTACGCGTGCTGAGGCTTGGGCAACCCCGCAGCTTTTCGGCAGTCAGCCCCAGTTGAACTAAACCAATTCGGTAGACTCGTCCTCGTCATGGCCCCCTGCCAGCGATGCGGCTTTGGCATCAGAAGCGGCAGAGGCAGCGGATGGTAAGAACGGGCTGCAAAAGGAGCAGGCAGGCGAGGGCCCTTGCCCAACGAGGACAGCAAGAAAGCAGAACGGCGACAGTCGCATGAGGCAAGAGCCCGGGGCGAAGCAAAGAGGCACAGCCGCCACGCTTATCCTCAACCAGAATGGGGGCCAGGGGCAAGAGGCGCAGCCGCCACGCTTATCCTCAACCACAATAGGGGCCACGGGGTACAGCCGCCACGCTTATCCGGTGCCAGGCGAAGAGGTGCAGCCGCCACGCTTATCCTCAACCAGAATGGGGGCCAGGGGGAAGAGGCGCAGCCGCCACGCTTATCCTCAACCAGAATAGGGGCCAGGGGGTACAGCCGCCACGCTTATCCGGTGCCAGGCGAAGAGGTGCAGCCGCCACGCTTATCCTCAACCAGAATGGGGGCCAGGGGGAAGAGGCGCAGCCGCCACGCTTATCCTCAACCAGAATAGGGGCCAGGGGGTACAGCCGCCACGCTTATCCGGTGCCAGGCGAAGAGGTGCAGCCGCCACGCTTATCCTCAACCAGAATGGGGGCCAGGGGGAAGAGGCGCAGCCGCCACGCTTATCCTCAACCAGAAAAAGGGCCCCGCCACGGTTATCCTCAACCAGAATAAGGGCCAGGGGGTACAGCCGCCACGCTTATCCGGTGCCAAGCGACGAGGTGCAGCCGCCACGCTTATCCTCAACCACAATGCTTATCCTCAACCAGAATAGAGGCCAGGGGATACAGCCGCCACGCTTATCCGGTGCCAGGCGAAGAGGTGCAGCCGCCACGCTTATCCTCAACCAGAATGGGGGCCAGGGGGAAGGCGCAGCCGCCACGCTTATCCTCAACCAGAATAGGGGCCAGGGGGCACAGCCGCCACGCTTATCCGGTGCCAGGCGAAGAGGTGCAGGCGCCCCACGTATCTCACAGATTCCCAGGGGAGAGGCTAGCCGCCACGCTTAATCCTCACCCAGAAATAAATATGTGCCGGTGGTACAGCCGCCACACTAGCCGGTGCCAGGCTAGAGGTGCGCCGCCACGCTTATCCTCAACCAGAAGGTGGCCAGGGACCTGAGAGGCGCAGCCGCCATCGCTTATCCTCAACCAGAGTAGGGGCCAGGGGGTACAGCCGCCCACCTTATCCTCAACCAGAAGGGGGCGAGGGGGAAGAGGCGCAGCCGCCACGCTTATCCTCAACCAGAATAGGGGCCAGGGGTACAGCCGCCACGCTTATCCGGTGCCAGGCGAAGAGGTGCAGCCGCCACGCTTATCCTCAACCAGAATGGGGGCCAGGGGGAAGAGGCGCAGCCGCCACGCTTATCCTCAACCAGAATAAGGGCCAGGGGGTACAGCCGCCACGCTTATCCGGTGCCAGGCGAAGAGGTGCAGCCGCCACGCTTATCCTCAACCAGAATGGGGGGCCAGGGGGAAGAGCACAGCCGCCACGCTTATCCTCAACCAGAATAGGGGCCAGGGGGTACAGCCGCCACGCTTATCCGGTGCCAGGCGAAGAGGTGCAGCCGCCACGCTTATCCTCAACCAGAATGGGGGCCAGGGGGAAGAGGCGCAGCCGCCACGCTTATGCTCAACCAGAGGTGCGTGGTCTCCACTCCAAGAAGATCGGCTTATCCTCAACTAATATGGGGTCCTAGGTGCGTGGTCTCAACTCGAAAAGGATGGAGGCGGGGACCAGGCCGGAGTGCTTATCCTCAACTAATATGTCCCAGGTGGGTGGTCTCAACTCGAAAAGGATGGAGGACCAGGCCGGGGCGAGCATCCTCAACCATTTTGGGGTCCCAGGTGCCTGGTCTCCACTCCAAGAAGACCGGGGCGGGGACGAGGCCGGAGCGCTAAACCTCAACCAATATGGGGTCCCAGGTGCGTGGTCTCCACTCGAAAAGGACGGAGGCCGGGACAAGGTCGGAGCACTTATCCTCAACTAAGAGGGGTCCCAGGTCCGTGGTGTCAACTCGAAAAGGATGGAGGCGGGGACAAGGCCGGAGTGCTTATCCTCAACCAATACGGGGTCCCAAGTGCGTGGTCTCCATTGCAAGAGACCAAGGCGGGGACGAGGTCGGAGCGCTTATCCTCAACCAATGTGGGGTCCCAGGTGCGTTATCCTCAATTAATATGGGGTTGCCGGTGGAGCGCTTATCCTCAACCAATATTGGGTCCCAGGTGCGCGGTGTCAACCTGAAGAAGACGGAGGCGGGTACAAGGCCGCAGCGCTTATCCTCAACCAATACGGGGTCCCAGGTGCGTGGTCTCAATCTGAAGAAGACGGAGGCGGGGACAAGGCCGGAGCGTTT